TGCGTTCAGTGCACAGCTGATGGGACCTTGTACAGGCAGGAATCAGCACTTACAGGGCATCCCAAATCTCTATGCCCCTAGCATTCAAGATATCCAAGACCCTCGGCTGGACAATCGCTCAGAATCTCAATGCACATTCGATGGGTCTGCGAGTCTCGGTTTGAAGCAGGTGGTGTTGTATCTGATGTCCGTCTGTCATTTCAGGCGTATATGAAATTTCAATGCAGAACAGTAAGTTCTCGGCCATTGCATTTTTACTTGAGCAGAATGCTGAATGCCTTTGCAGACGAGGCAGATGACAAGATCCACATTTTTTCTCGAGGTGCATACACCACCCGTGCGCTCGCTGGCGTAATCAACGAAGTCGACCTGCTCCCGACATGCAACCACCAGCAGATGCCATACGAGAACAAGGTGTACACGTGCACGACACCACTTGGCTAGCAAAGGGCACACTCTCAAGAAGATGTTCTCGGCAGACATCGACATCGAATGAATTGGCGTCCGGGACATAATGTGCTCAGTCGGTTTTCTTGCACTGGATGCCGTTCACAGTAGGCAACACTGCCGTGAAGACGTTCAACATGTCGCCAGCCTCGATGAGTGGTGCGGCAAGTTTAAAGCAAACTTGTTGAAATGGTCATGAGAGGACGAGGATCAGCTCAGCATGCAACTAGGAGACATGCCCAAGGCGAGCCAGAATGATGAGCTGGTTTATCTCCCCGTTTCAACGAGGTTACACCTGCGTACAAGAAGGATGAAAAGAATAAGTGAAGGCCAGTATTGTCAGAAATCTCCAACGTGTTGAGGGGCAACTCCGTTGACAACCGGCAGCACCAGGAGACGGATGGCCAGTTCTCCGAGTGGCAGAAGCGCACGCGCAAGATCGACGTTCTATAGGTGTGATTCGCGGGCTGCCACTGCGGTATGTGACCGATCCCGTCATGCCACGAATTCTCATGCTCACGCACCTTTGCAGGCGGCAGCGGCGGCTCGGTGTCGAAAGACACGTGGCACAGCCTGGGGCACATCCCGCTGCAGTGGATGGTGCGCCAGTGCTTTCTGGCAAGCACCGGTATCCGGTTTCATGCCAAGCTCCTGTGCGGCATCAGGCTCGACCCTGCATCGCTCTACCTGAATTGTGCCGAATTTGCATTGGTCTTCAGGAGCTTCAAATGACATCTGGAATATCCGCCTTTCGTCCACCCATCATTATCCCTCTTCTCGATGTTTTCAAGATTTTCAGTTCGGCGGCCTAGACACAGGAACTTATTATGTTACACCGGACTAGCCACACTGGCTTAGACGTTTATAAGCGCCCAGATCCACTAAGTGCCTTGGAGCCTGGCTGAGACACGGTCGTGGCTAAGACATGTAATTAGCGTAATTACAATAAAACAATTGCGCAGGAAGCGTGAATCAAACCCACTGATTGCCCAATGAGCACTAACATCTGCACCACCAGGCCCTACACTGTAACCGTTAGGTATTGACCTAACAACCTTTCTCCAGCCACTCACGCGGCCGACGTCTCAGCCACGGTCTAGGGGCTTGGCCACACAGAAACCGGCCCACTCACCATCGCCTTTGTGGTGTCCTCTAGCTCATTCAGTTTGGTCCTGCCGCGCCATACAGCTGGGCGCGTACTGCCTGTCACTCGCTCTACGATGGCGTCAGAGCAGCTTACTTGCATCTGCGAAAACCCGCCTGAGCTTTTTCACTGGCTCAGTATACGGTCTGCCAACACAGCATCGTGATCCTACATGCCTCGCGCTCTCCCCGACGTACTTCGGCGCTTATTGCTCCTGCTCTTGCTCTCGCGCCGTCCCCTCTTTGACTGCCTCCCACCTCCATCCTCAGCCACCTCGCACCTTCTTCACTTACATTAGCTCATTGCTTGGTCTTCTGTGTGCTCCCAGGTAAGCCTCCAGTTCTTGTTTCCACATTGTTACTCACCATGGACCGTGCTGTCTGCTGCCCACTGCCCACTCCTCTATCCCCACAACCTTGCACTTGCAACCCTCTGCGCGCCGTCCTTCGACTCAGAAGCCCTCTCCGTTCGTCTGGAAGGAGGTTTAGCGTGGTTTCTCCCAGGTAAGTCTTCAGTTCTTGGTTTGGTGTCATTGCTCACTCACCATACAACCCGCTGTCTTCTACCTCCACACCCTCTATCCTCGACTATCCCACACCTCGTACTCTGTACACGCTGTCGTTTGGTTCACCTGCCATCTCTGATCATCTGGAAGGCGGTTCAGAGCCGTTATCCCAGGTGAGTCTTCATTCTCGGTTCGGTCTCGTTGCTCACCATACAACTCCCTCCTCCACACCCCTCTATCCTCAACTACCTCGCATCTGGTGCCCTGTGCCGACCGCCGTTGTAGCTCGTACTTACCGTACGCTCTCGAACCGCCACGGCCCTCAGCCCTCAAGCTCAACTTCTTTGCGTCTTGTGCCCAGTTCCGACCGCCGTCACATTTGCCCTCAGCGCCCGACCATATGAAAGTAGTTGAGGAGGTGGGAGCTAATTGGTTGAAGGTGAGTGCCAGATTCTCGACTGATTCCTTGTACTTATCGTACACTTTTGAACCGCCACGGCCGTTAGTCCGAAAGCTCAACATGTCCGGCAACCAGAAGAACTTGGGGCAACAGAACACGAACTATACGATTGGCTGGTATCAATCCTTCGCGCAATACAGGCTGAGGGTTCGATGGGAGGCACTAAAGAGGCTGATGGAGACTGAGGCAAAGCATGCCACTTTGTAAGTGCCGTCGCCCCGCAATTAGACTGATGAGACTTACCTGGTTTTATATATAGAAATGATTGGTGTGTTTTGTTCCTCGATCCCAGCTGGTATTCTGCAAAGCCATTACAGTGGGAACGCATCCTCGAAGAAGTAGCAAAGTCAATTGCCAGGCAGCGCACGCGTGCAAACGGGACAAGGCAAATTATCATAACGTAAGTCGCTCGCGTTATTACTAGGACTATTCATTTAGCTGTTTGCAGCTCACCGCTACACCGTAGTGGAGATCTGAGGTGTCCAGCACAAAGTCATGATCACACCTGGCATGTCCAGGTGCGCCTGTGTACGTTCCAATGACATTATTACCGATGTTCCAATGTTAAACATATACCTATTAACCCTAGCTCTTTGCTTTGATATCGACTGCTTTCTCTTCGATTACTACCTTCTTGAATGAATGTCTATATCCCTACTTACATCTAATCATAACGCTGCATTTTAGAGACCTGTATGAGAGCTCCGCGCTGTGCTCAACTTGGCAAAGCTTCGCTTTGACCGGCCCACCACAGCTCTGCCAGCCCTCAAACCGATGTGATCCTGCCATGTACTGCCAGCACTCTTGGTCACAGCGGCACTGAATGGCTCTCCGTGTCAGGTACAGGTACCATGTCATGAGGTCGACCTCCCAAATATTGTTGACACCATCGACGTTCTTCGTGACGGTCATCGTCATCGCATTCCCATTGACGTTGTTGAGCTGCTCGAGGATGCATCGTTTCATGAAGACCTCACGTGACAGGCCCAGCATGTCGACTGAATCTCAATCAACAGCCTTCCAACCGGTGGCCCACTTACCACTGAGTGTCGGCATCCTGGCACCACTGGTGATGCTGTACATGATGGCAGGCGGGATCGAGGTCTCGAGGTCTCGAAATTGAGGCAGGAGTCGATGGTGATCTCCTTCTTGGTAAGGACACGGTGGTCAACATCGATGAATGCAAACAGGTCCAAGGGCTTGTCAGTGCAGGGAAGCTTCCAGATCGGGACGGTGTGCAGAATGTTGTGGCCGCAGTGGGTGAGGGTGATGAGGCACTCGGGAATGTACTGCTCTGATGGTGTCGACCTTCTTGAGCGAGGTGTCGTCAGTGCCGAGGTCGGTGCTGATCCAAAGTTCCTCGACGTAGTGTACACCTGTGAGTCACAGTGTCAGCAGCAGAAGATATCAAAAGCCCAAGACGAAGACATACTCTTGAGGTTCAAGATGAAGTGCATGAGATGAACAGCATCCACTGTGATGGTCTCGTCCACATCTCGGCAGTGATCTGGCCACTGAC